GAAGGTTTTAACCTTAAGATTAATTTATCATTGCAACTTTACGTTTTTTTTTTTCCTGTTCTCATCACTATTTCCTTTTCATTGAGGTCACCTGGTGCTGTGTTGCCATGGAAGCACGCCCATGAGTAGTGCTGGCAAGAAACTGGTGTTTTCAATCAGCCTTATATGGAAAATCCTCACTGACTAAGAGTGATGTTTGTGGTTTTGGTCGGGTTTAGATTATTGTTGTAGAGGTTTAACTCGGTTAACTGTCCCTCAACTAGAAAATGTATTTCTACCTCTTAATTGGAAATGGTGTAGTCTACGGCTCTAAAAAGCTAGGTTGTTTTAATCCATGCCCTTCTGCTGCAAAATTCCAAAAAGGCTCTTGACCTGACCTCAAACCTTACAGAAATTTTCTAGAATATTTTCACAACATATTTAAAAGCAGGGCTCTAGTAAAATAATGCACCGGTTATACCTTGCTACACCTCGGACATCGTGGAATACACTAGCTGATCACCCTTCCAGCTGATCCAAGCTGTTTAGATTTTTTATGAATATGCTGGAACAGTCTATGAGCACAGCTGTATTTTTTGTTCCTAAATATATATAAAAAACTGTGACTTCATAACATAGATGACTTAGTCTGTCCTGATGGACTTGATGTAGCTTCCAAGCTAGACCCAGGAACAGCATACATGACGAAGTAGACGGTGATACAGCTGCTTATAAAATTGCAGGCAGATAAAAAACCCAGGGAAAGCTAAATTGCCTTATTTTTGTCAGTAGACCAGTGTAAAAATTCTATGCGTTTCTGAAAAAATCAAGTTTATAAGATGGCAGAGGTCCCCTTTGAGTATTTATGACACCTGATAATTTTGTTTCTTTTGAAATGGCTTTACATTAGAGAGTTTTATAATATCAATGTAACTAATATACAGGTATGTCCCAAGTTTATGCAGGGTGTAATTTTAAACATATTCCTTAGAATATAGATTGCTGTAGAAAAGAAAAGCTGCATAATGGGACACATTCCGTTCAATTCACCAGTTAGCTCTGCGTATATTTAAGGTGCAAACGGCTTTATTTGTTCGAGAAACCGTGAAAAGGCCATGGTTTAAAAAGTCATTATTGCACAGCTAGGTCTCCAACCACTCAATAAAATCTGGCTTTAAAGTTACACCAGATAGAGAGAGCAGAAAAATACACTTAACATGCTCATCAGATATTACCATAATGCTAAAACTTTAAGATAAGGATTAAGCACAACATCTTGCTCTCTATGATCGTGGACAATTTAAAGATTTTCTCTAACACAGCAGGATCAGATGAAAGAAGCTTCTGTCTCAGAGTCCAGTGGCCTTTCTCTGCAGAGCTGATGCAAGAGATGCACCTCTGTTGCCTCACTGGAGACCGTGCACTATCGATGGAGACCAGAGGAATGGGAAATGACATAAAGAATGATTAGTTAATAAATCAGCTCCCTAGCCGACTTGCTCTTTCCTGGGTTCTGCTCCTTCACCAATCGTTCCCCATTACACCCTCCCTCCCCCTCTGCAGCAGCTTTAAATCCTGAAGACACGTTGCACCTGTTTGCATGGGTACACCAGACCCCTGCCGGGTGTTCTCCCTCCTCTTCCACTACCCCTGAGGGCGCTGCATTGGGGTGATGTAATCAGATGAAAGCCTTGGTTTAGCGATAGCATGGAGCCTAGATGTGCGAAGAAGAGAGAGGAGAAAAGGGGTGCTTGCTCCTCAGAAGGCCAAGGCGGGTGTGTGTTATCGATCAGCGCAAAATTTAATTTAGTGTAGAATTGAGTTGCTACGGTTTACCAGAACACTGCTGGTAACTACAGCAGGCCTGTGTGGCCAGCAGGTGGTTGAAAGGATCGAGGAGGAGATTAAGGGTTGAATTTAAGGGAGGGAAATGGATGATAAGGGGAATGGCACAGTTTCAGGGGGAATAGAATCGGAGTTAGGATGAGAGCTAAAAGGCTTAATGGAGGGCAACTAATCCTAAATTGCCGCAATTCTAGTGTGACACCATTAGTGACATCCTCTTTACGGGTGCAGTGGACATTTTGCTCATTTTCTTACAAAAAGCAAGAAGTTAACTGCATGTGTGGTATCTAATTTGGGGCTGCACGCTGTAGGTATTTAGGGCACCCACCAATTGTGCAGAAGTAACTTGAAGAACTCGACAAGGATAAAGATTGGAAAGCGGATTTCCTTCCTCCCCTTTCCCTCTCTTCCACCCCTTTGTACTTATACACAGAACAGTTTATAGCTACTCTGCAGAGTTCAATATCCTCAGAGATAAAGGTATCAGTTTCATTTTCTCTGAACGTTTTTTTTTCCTCTCCCTTTTTTTTTTTTCTATTTCCCTTTAGTCTGCATGGCTGCCACAGCCACTGAAGTCGTTTAACACCGTCCTTGAGAAAGCCCTCAGTGTAAAAACTCCTGGCATGTTTAAGGAAAAAGGTAGAATGCAGTGTGTGTCAGGCGGAGCTGGGACATTCAGACAGGGGGGGGTGCGTTCCCCAGAGGCGTTATTTTCCCCTCTAATAGCTGTTACGAGCCCTACATTATATCCAAGGAGCTACATTCCTTTGGGGTCCAGACAGAGGAACACTGACACACACTCCCACCTAGATGGACTGACACACTCACACAAAGGCATGCACACTCAGTTGAGCACAAATTCTCTCTGTTTCTTTCTTTTGCACACACACACAAATACACACACACAGTCAGTTCTAGCTGCTTTGCTCTCCTCCCGTGTCAATATCCTGCCATTTGAAGTCACGTACTGCAGGGGCTTCTGGGAGTCACTGAGGAGCCAGCCTGACGGGTAATGGGCCGCATTCATTAATAAGGTTGCCGTGCTCCTGTCCCTCCTCAGCCACACCAAGGATGTCTTCACCGTAGGGGAGGAGGGGGTTGAGGTGAGGTGAAGAGAGAGAGGGAGAATCCCGTAGGGAGTCTCCTCCCAGACTCACTTAAAGGAGCTTTATTTCAGCAAGAGAGGGGAGAGGAAAGCAGGAGGAGCTGTCCAGGAGCCTCCTCCTATAAAAAAAGGACACCGGAGAGCTGCGTTAACCTGTACCGGGGTCATAGTCCTGCTCCCCGTCAAACAGCTTATTACCCCACCTGTCGGGATGTAATCACGCTGGCTAAAAGGAAAACTGTTGAGGTGTTTAAATGCTTTATGTGGAGGCAGCTGAAATGGTAAAAGCGTAAAGAGCGAATTCAAGGGGGGGGGGGGGGGGGGGGGGGGCTAATAGCCATCTCTCAGTCCTGCCTGACGGATTCAGTACCAACCGTATTGAAGGTATCTACTTTGGTAAACCGCTTCACCAACGTTGGGGGAAATATGTAATAGTAATTAAACCAGTGACTGTGGAGGACAATGGATTAAAATGAACTCATTGACATTGTCAGGAAACCCATTGGTAGTGAGCCAGTATCATGATGGTTGTAGCTATCAGAAGATCGGTATACTGAGGTCGTAGAAATAGTCATGGTTTAACCTGTGCCCCAAATTGTGCTTAGAATATTCCCCCAGATCATCACACCCCTGCCAAAAGCTTGAAGCATGGGTACCAGGCGTTATGGATCCCTGCATTAATGCTGTTTAGGCTGAATTCTGACCCTACCATCTGGACCTTGTAGATTAAATTACTCACTGAACCAGGTTACGTCTTTTAATTAGTTGTTGTCTCTTTTTAAAAAGCTTTTTGTGAATCGAAACCTTTGTTTAATGTTATTGCCTGACAGGAGTCGCCTTCTATGGTCTTTTGATGCAATACCTTCAAAAAGAACTCAGTAGGTCCAACATGCTGTATGTTCAGATATTATCTTGCATACATTGGTTGCTTTTGTCCACAAAACAAGACACACATATCTGCTGAACAGACATTTTCTCTTTACTTATGACCCCTGTAAATCTGATTCCAACTTAAATGCCTATATACATGGAGTTTCTGCTTTGTGATTGGCTGGTTTCACTTGTTGGAAAGCAATTTAACAGGTGCACCTGATTAATCGGCCTGTGATTGCATGTGTGAAATCAAAAAGGGACAAGTCCACTGTGATCTTTGTGTATTTCTGCATGCATGTGGGATGATGACTGTGTGACAGGTGTGTTTAGTCAATGGCAGTTTAGAGAGTCCAAGGCCATGTTTTAAACAGAGCACAGCAAGTGGGGCATGTAGTTTGCATTAAAGGGATTAGCAGTCACTTCAAAAGATGACCTGGATTCAGCCCACCAGGGACACCCGTTACACACACCCTGGTCCACGCTCCCTTTAAAGAATCTGGCACAGCTGCCCCACTACAACCCCACTCTCAACTCTGTGTATCTGTTTGTGTGTGAGTGCATATGCATATACTTCAATGAAACAGCCTAACAGAGTTTTAGATTCGTACCTAGTGATGGTGTCATGGTTAACTGTGCAGCAAAATATACTCACAAAAGTGTGGAGGATCAAATCATCAGCGGTCTCAACTGTACCTCTTAACTTTTTTCATCTACAGGATACATCTATAGTACATTCATTAAATGGGGGTACCCCCAAGGAAGATATTTTATATCAGGTGTGTCAGGGCTTTGTTATGGATTTGTTGTCATGGTGGCAGGCTTTGCCTGGGAGTAGGAAACAATCTGTCAGTTGTGCTAAATGATGTGGTTAGATCAGAACTGGAAACAGGCTGGTTTGAAATATTCTAAATAATGTTCTGTTGAAATTGTATAGGGAGTGTAACTCAAATAGGCATAAAAAGATACACATCAAATGTCACACAACTGTTATTTGCTGTTAATTTACAATTGAAGGAGCAAGTTTGACAGCCTATTATCCTAAATAAACTACAACTTTAAAACCTTGCTGACTCTACAGTATCTCTCTCTCATCTTTATATATATATATATATATATATATATATATATATATATCAGGAAAAGGGTGCATTTGCTTTGAGTAATAATGTTTCTCCTGCATTTTTTGTATGTTTTGCAGAACCACACATTGACTCAGCACAGCAGCTAACGTGGCAGAGCTCAGTGCCGTGACCAAGAACAAGGATTGCATGACGCACAGAACAATGCCTGACCGCCAATTATCGTCGGAGCGTTTTCCCACTGACTGACTTGTTCTGAACTTTCGATTCAGCCACGCTGTCAGAAAAAAACACTACAGAAGAAGGAAGAAAAAAAAGAAGTTACAGAAACAGTGAAAGAACTTAAAAGAAACCTCTGTGTTCTTTACTGGTAATTGTGTCCAAATAAAGAAAAGGTAATATTCTTTGTACATAGAATTTCCTCATGTGTTGCTTATCTACAGGTATATTACAATCTTATACAGTATTTGCCAATGTACAGTTAAAATGTTTGTCTAAAAAAAAAAGAATAAAGGAGGGAAAAAAAAATATCATTAAATCTGTTAAACAAAAAATGGGTTTTGATCCATTGTAAGAAGCGGGGTGCCACTGGGAGCACAGGACTCTTTTCATTACTGGCACTCCTTCGTGATAAATGCAGACACAGTCAATCATGATGAGGTAAACCTGTAAAAACGGGATCTCGATTCACCAGCGTAGGCAGATATCTTGTCTGTGTGTCTGTCATACAACAAGCATGGCTGCCAGAGGACGAGCTATGGGATGACAGCGCAACAAATCTGCTTTGTCTATGCTGAAATTCATGTGAGATTCAGGAGAAAAAAATAGAGAAGAGGGGGAAAAAAACTAACAGGTCAGGGGACAGGCAGGATGCTGATATATGCAAACGCAGTGACACAGATTTAGAAAAGGCTAGCTCCTCTGGTTGGCTCGTGAATAGAGGCGTGAAGCTCCCATGTGGCTCTCAGAGCATGGGGAAATCTCCAGCTCACTGATTCAACCTGTACATTTTCGTTATTAATGTTTACTGCTTGTTGAAGCCAGAAGATTACTGGAATTTTCCTTTTTTTTCATGTTTTGTTATTGGTGTATTTTCAACTATTTAAATTTAGGGGCATGAAGACTGAGTCTCATCTCAGACTGTCTCGGGGATTCCAACGCAGTTCCAAAATGGCTAGTTCCAAATCCCTGGCTCTCCTGGAGAGTGCCCACCCATCCCTCTTTCTTTGCACCATCTCATCGCCCAACACTCAAACTGGAAGCCACCATATAAAACTCCGAATCCACCCTGTATTATAAATGTTTTGCATTCATTGAACCTGAGATGCACTTTTGTATGAAACTTTTATGTTTTGACATTTTGACTGAAATAATTCGTATACAGTTTACAGGAAACCACCATCTCCTGAAGCCAAAAGGAAAGTTATCTCTGATGTTATTGAAATGTATTGTAAAATATAGAGTTCTGTATTTGGCAGAGCTCATTTTTTTGTGTTGCACATGTGATGGAAATAATAAAAAATAAACTGTATGAGGACATGCCTCTAGTGTTTGCTGTATTTCTAAAAGCTCTTTGCATGTGTGTGAGAAAGAGAACATTTAACCCATCAGACAGGTCCTATGGCAGCACAAGCACGACTATCTTTCAAAGCTTGCACTGTTTTTTTTTTTTATATTGTATCAAATTGCATCCTATTTTTTCGTACTCCCTCGTGGCACTCACTAACGAACATCTGAGCATCTTAAGGGAGGTCTTTGTTATTAATGACTCCATTACCCATCACCCTGTGCGGTCCCATTCTACACACCCTTGCGTTAGGCCTATTTAGGGAGCCTCCAGCACTCCGGGGGACCTGGGAAAAGATTCTCCTGCCTTCACCGAATGGGACATTAGCATCTGTCTGTCTGAACAAATGATTCATCAGTGGTGACACAAAATGCTGCCTATTAAATATCCACGCTTTCCCTTTTTTTAAAATAAAACATTCATTGTGAAATTTAAAGCTATTTTTGCTAGAACAAGAGTCATATTATACAGAATTTATATGATATGATGACAATAAATCAAGCCACACCCCTTTTTTAATTAGTTTCTGTGCAAATATTTCAATGTCCAGTTGAAAAACTGCCTCTCGCCTGTGGATAGCTGGAGATAGGCACCAGCACCCCTCGCGACCCCACTTGGGGTATGTAGTTTAAAATGTTTAAACTACAGGACATTTGACCTCACATGACCGTTGGCTAACTAGGCTTAAATTATCTGATTTCTCTAATTTTTGCCATTGAACTAAAGGGCTATTTAACAGTTTGCATTAAATTTACTTTACTCAAACTAAATGGAATGTACATGAATGTAATTATTTAAAACAGAATTACAATGATTAAAATGTTCCTGTTTATTAAAACAGAATAACAAAGTAAGATATATTGCAAGAAACAGCATATCCTAAGCAATTATATATATTAAGCTAATTTACATTTAAAATTTTATTTTTTTTCTTAAATGGCATGTACTTATATAGCGCCTTTATTCAAGTCTGGAGACATGACCAAAGCACTTTACACTACATTCATTCACCCATACACTAATAGTGGCAAGCTACATTGTTGCCATAGCTGCCCTGGGGCTCACTGACAGAAGCGGGGCTGCCATACACTGGCGCCACCAGGCCCTCTGACCACCATCAGTAGACAATGCAGGTGAAGTGTCTTGCCCAAGGACACAACAACACTGAAAGTTAGAGTCAGGGCTTGAACCGTCAACCCTTCGATTTTAGGGCAATCTCCTACATCCAACGCCACTGTCGCCCCAAATCACCTTATGGAGGCTGAAGAGGAGGAACAGAGCTCTAAACATGGTCTTAGTTGTGATTAACAGTTCGACTGAAAGCAGCACTTCAACTTACAGTCAACATAACGAACATTGAAAGAGATCACAGTGGTGACCGTTTTTTGATGGAGCACCATCTTCATGAAAGGCAGAGGAACAGGGGGGACTAAGGGGAAGGTTCTGTGGAGGAGGCCAGCGACCCTCAGTCATAGAGGTCATTCATAGCTGAGATTCCCGAGGCTCCTGGTGTGACTGAGCTTCCCGGCGCCTCCAACCATGGAATAGGGACAGGTTCTGAGTGGTAAGTTAACATTAGTTTTTTAGATGATAGGTCAAATGAAGGTTAAAGGAAACTGTTAAAACTACGGACAGTATACACTCACTCCATTTGATATGAAGGTGTGTAGAGATAGAGGTATTTATAAGCCAGAGCTACTCACCTCAAGCCATGTGACTTAAAATCAGTTACCTTACACTCCTTAAAGACCATTTAAATTGAGTTGTACCATTTTCTTCTAAACACAATATAAATGTCATACATGAATTGCTCTAAATGTCAAAGGCCTCTAATTCTTTTACAATTGAGTTGCAGAGTTTGAATTAAAAAATTGGGTTTGATTATTTCTGTGTTTCCGGATTTCATGTCTAAACCAGAGGCTAGATGCCGTCGTGGGTCTTCCTTCAGCTGCTCCAGCAGTACGGTCAAAAATAACTGTGGAAATATTTCAGCTTCAGCTCAAACAGTAGCAACAAGCTGTTTTGCAGGTGGGTAGAACCATAACTATGCTTAAACCTTAGAAACAACCCAGAATAGAGATGCAGGGTAAATGCGGTGATGTGGAGATGAAGAGGAAAAGGTTCTGCTAAACATTTTGTATCTATCCTTTCCATTGTTAGTTTATGGAAATGACTCAGAGTCTGTGGCGGAAATTAGAAGGCCAAGTCTAATGATGTGACGCCAGCTGTAGTGTGAAAAACTACTGCTACTTTACATGGACTTTACACATGAGGAGGGCAGCTAGGATATTAGACACAAAAGTAGGATTGCAACAAATTAGCAGTAAATTGTCAAAACAATATCAATGGCTTGCAGATAGGACCATTAGGAAACCATGCATACAGTATTTCATTGAAAATGGTAAATTCTACAGTGAGTTGGCTCCAAACAGTTTTGATATTTATTTATTCACGCATGTTTTGCATATGATGTTAATTTTTAAGTTTTTATACTGTACATTCTACTATACTTTTTTATTAAGCTATAATGGTCTTCCTGTTTTTTTTATGAATATTAGATCAGCCTCATAGAAATAAACACAAAGTAACTTTCCAATATAGCTGAGTGAATTAACTATTACTTGTTTGTTTTCACTCAGATGTCCAATGTCCAGGCTTCTCATGAGCTGAAACATTACATCTCTATAATGAAGATTAGATCAATAATGGACCTACTGCAACCCCACATCCATATCAGAGATGGTTCATCCCAGCATTAAACTGTCACAGGATATGCAAGCTGGGCATCTATTAAACAACTTTTCTAGCATCTCCCTTTGCCAGACACTTTTAATAAGCTTCAAGGGCATTTGAACAGATCCAGAACTTTGCTTTGCCAGAGACGGACTGGCCCACATCATCCATTACATTAAATTGGGTGGTGGCCTCCAGCTCATATTTATGATTTAATTAAATTCACTTGTGAGGCGTATCAAAACCACTGCGGCCTGGCTTTTAGCGCACACACGTGCATGGCTACATACATTAGTGCACAGAAGCTCTGTGTTACTGACACACGACCAAGTGCAGGACTTTGTAGGTGCTTTGGCAGAGGGTTCTCTAGGGTTCATTTAAAGCAATATAATTACACAGCTCCCAAGTATTCTTCCATCAGAAAGCAGCAGAATGGATGGCTTGTTCAGAGATAACTCAGCCTGGCTGATCCTCTACAGTGCAGTCACACCGCACATAACCTTAATGCAAGTGGCACTTAATGTTGCTAAGAGCCCAGCCAATCCTTAATGAAACTGGCCAGTGGGGCCAAATGTTTGGGAGTAGCTGAAATGATGTTGTTTTTATCTGGGATGTGTTTAAAATAGCATTTTTGTTTGTTTGTAATAGTTTTTTTAGACTTAAGAGCCACATACCTGGAGTCCCCTGGAGGAAAAGCAGCAGTCTGTGTTAAGACTTTATTAAAGAAATATGAGCTCTAGCTGAAGCTGTGCAGTACGCTGCTGTCCAGAAAGGTAAAAATATGGCCTTTCATCCCATTTGAACAAATATACATTCAGTACTTCTCCCTTGTGTTTCGGTGTCCTTGCTATTGCTCTTCTTTGGTGTAAAATTTAGTTTGGTGAAAACTCCACATTGTTAGGCTGTGCATTCCTCTGGCTGAAGGAGACCTCAGAGATCTCTTATGGTATTCAATATGTGCGCCCAAGCATGAGATCCAGCTCCATTTGGCTGGGAGATCCACAGGGACCGTCTGATGTAACCTAATCTCTCACACCGGCACTTCACATCCAAAGAGCCATCTTTTCACTTCAGAACTATGTCAGCAAAATGGACGCCTCAGTCCCACCATGACGCCCCACCTGGATGTTGGTGATAAACGGAAAGTATTTGATGTTGCCCTGTGGGCATCTGTAAATTGGGACTTTGTTTGTTTTAAATGACAATGGTAATAGTTTTAACACAACTGAAATTTAGCATTTTTCTTTCAAATGAATAAAGGTGAAACTATATAATGATAACAGCAGCTAAAGATTTTTCTCAAGGTCATGCATCCGATATCTTGCTCTCATTAGGGGGGGAAATCTCTCTGTATGAATGTAGGAAGTGATTAAAATATTATCATGCTAGACTATGATAAGAATAAGAAAAAATTTAAATACCTTCATTTTACTTTAAAATTTAAATAAAACATTAGAAACAAGTTTATATTCCAGCATTTATTCCCAGACCATTTGTTTTGGATGGTTTAGATGCTGTTGCTTTTTTTTTTTTTTTTTTTTTTTTTTTTTTTTTTTTTAAGCACTGAATGGCCTGGCACCATCTTTCTATCTGTACTTTTGAAAATCCACCAGTCCAGCCAAGCTCATGGTCTGCTGGTCCACATCCGCTTGAGGTCCCTCACTCTAGGTGGAAACCAGTGGGGGGATCAATCTTTTTCAGTGGTTGGTCCAACATGGTGGAAAAGACTGCCTTTCATCAGCAACATGCCTCGATTCAAAGCCAAACTAAAGACTAGAAATTATACACTTTACATTTTTAGAACTTTGATTTTTTTTTAACTTGTTTGTATTTTCACCTTTTTAGTTGACCCTATATTTCTTTTAATGTCTTCTGCTTTTATTCTGAAAACTTAGGTAAATGCAAGTTGTTCAAAAGTGCTATATAAATGAAATTTATATAGAAAATGCTGTGTTGACCTAACCACCTTATACAGCAGATTTTTATTAATTAGTAAAGGTCGCCAAAAGAAAAGGAAACTCAGCTAAAGTAAAAGAATATTAAAACAAACAAAAAAAACAAAGAAAGTATATTTAAAAAAATATATGTTTTAATATTTTAAGTGAAATTGCTCAAGAACTACAGCCAAAAACCAGCTGGGGATGCCCATTTTGTTTTATGTTAAACTCTATGTCCAAATAAAATTCCATGCAGAAAGACCCCAGGCTGGGAAGTGAACCCAGAACCTTCTTGCTGCA